CAGGCAATTGGATGAAAGAGTCTGAAGTTCAGGGAAATCTGGGTTGGAGACGGTTACTGGGGAGTCACTGGCGTTGATGCCATGAGACAGGATGGAGTTAAGGAGGAGAAGCTCAGTGCCTGTGAGTTCACAGGGAATTAACTCAAGGAAGGGGAGGGAAGATGGGTGTCCAGAACGCCCAGAAAGAAAACCTTTTTAGTTGTTCTGGCCATATAAAATGCTGCTTGATAATTCAAGTGAGATGAAAAATGGAACTTGACCACTTGTGTTTGGCATTATGATAGTCAGTTTATGACCTTGAAAAGAGCTCTCTCTCTTGAGAGGCAGGGAAGGAAACCTGATTGGCGTGTATTTAAGAGAATAGAAGGAGAATAATTGTGACAGTGACTGGAAAAAATATATCAGCCGTGTTCTGATGTGAGGTGGAACAGGGATGAGGAGGCTGTGCATTTAAAGTAAGGGGTCTGCTTTCTAGAGGTGAAGAAACCACAACGCTGTGTGTAGAATCATATTGACGTTACAGCAGAGAGAGGCTAATCACAAGAGCGGCTTACTAAGGGGACAAGGCAGAAGGGGGTCCTGTGCTCCACAAGCAGTTCAGGTAGGCTGGCAGAGCTTTGCAAAGGGTTAGAGCATCGCTCTTCTGGAGAGGTCTGTTTTCTTTGTCTGACATGAAGCATCATCAACCAAGAATGCAGAAGGGGGAGTAATGTCAGAGGAGTAAAGAAGGACAAGGGCAGAGGGGTGAGGAAGGGGAGGAGAATGCTGGGCTAGGGAAGGACGGTGGGGAGGCTGGTAGGATTGCGCCCCCTTGAGGTTAGGACACAGTATGCATTTCACATGAGACCAGCCCTGAGTGGTACAGGTATTTGCTCCTGACTCCCTTAAGCAACTTGGGCTCTGTAGTCAGAAGTTTTCATGTGTCCTGGTCAGCCGGTGGTCGGGACAAATCTCTCCCACTCATGTACCCCAAGTAAGCACACAGGGGCTTATATTAATTATAACTGCTTGGCCATTAGCTCAGGCTTAATACTGACTAGCTCTTACATTTAAATTAACCCGTAATTCTTATCTATGTTTAGCCACATGGCTTGGTACCTTTTCTCAGTTCTGCCTTGTCATCTTGCTTCCCCTGTGTCTGGGTGGCAACTCCTGACTCAGCCTTCCTCTTCCCAGAATTCTCCTCATCTGCTTACCCAGCCTATACTTCCTGCCTGGCTACTGGCCAATCAGTGTTTTATTTATCAACCAATCAGAGCAACACATATTCACAGCATACGGAATGACATCCCACAGCAGGGCTCTGTGGTCCAGGGGAGAGAGCAGCTTAACTGAGATTGAGGAGAGAGGAGTGAGGTAGCTAAGTGTGAATGCAGAGGCACAGTGAGGGGATGGGTCATGATGTTTCTGACCAATGCAGTAAGGTTGGGGAATTGTTGGCATCAAAGGGAAAGACTTGAGGTGGAAATGGAAATCGGAACGCTGACAAATCAGACCATGGCTGGAGTACAGCCACTGGTGTTAAAAATATCTGGGATATAGCAGGGGCTTGCTACATGACTACTGAAAACCCTAGAATTGGCGAAGGGCTGGTGATGCTCACCTTGATGAACAAAAACATCAGGCAGACTGACATCAAGGACTGGCTTCAAATGTTGGAGGGAAAGACAGAAATAGGGAAATCAGAAAGAAAGTCAAGGACAGACACCTGCAGGCCCCTGTGAGAGTTCAGTTAGGAAAGCAGACACCAGGCTAGCACGCAGGTCTCAGCTCCTAGATCCTCCTCTGGCCTTGATAGACTCATAAGAAGAGCTTCAAAAATGGTATCAGCCAGGCGGTGGTGGTGCACGTCTTTAATCCCAGCATTTGGGAGGCAGAGCCAGGTATATCTCTCTGAGTTCGAGGCCAGCCTGGTCTACAGAGCGAGATCCAGGACAGGCACCAAAACTAAACAGAGAAACCCTGTCTCGAAAAACCAAAAACCAAAAAACAAACAAACAAACAAAACCAAAACAAAACCAAAAATGGTATCTGTGTCTGGCTCCTCTGACCATTTCTAAACAAATCAGGACCCCTGAGCATGTTGGCACACTCCTGTTTCCTACTGTTCTCACTCAGGCTTGGTCTCACCAAGTGTCTGGGTTTGTGACTGTCCCAGGAGTGTGCAGTGATACTCCACCAGGGGTGTCCGAATCTGTGTTTTCCCGTGGGAAGTGAGGATGCTCGGCTGTGTACTTCCCCGAGTGAGACTGTTTCTACTTCCTCTGCTATCCATCTGTTTACATCTTTGGCATCCTTTGCCCTCCCCTGTGGGTTCCTCGACCACATTTATAATGATTTGTTGAAAGCCGTATATATTTTTGATTCTATCATATGATTGTATGTACTACAAATACATTTTTTATGTAGCCATGGCTTGTCTCCCCCATGAATTCAATAGCAAATGTAAGCTTTAATATCAATACTTAATAATGTTTTGCTTCTGTCTGAACTGGGACAGGATATTAGCTGGCCTTGGGCCATGTTATCTTATTTATCCCACTGTGGCATTTTAAAAATTAAAGTAGGAGCTGGAGAGATGGCTCAGCGGTTAAGAGCACTGGCTGTTCTTCCAGAGGTCCTGAGTTCAATTCCCAGCAACCACATGGTGGCTCACAACCACCTGTAATGAGATCTGGTGCCCTCTTCTGGCATGCAGGCAAAACATGCAGACAGAACACTGTATACATAATAAATAAATCTTTAAAATAAATAAATAAATAAATAAATAAATAAATAAATAAATAAATAAATAAAAATTAAAGTAACACAACACATAAAGTTGGATAGGGTGTCACGTGCTTGCAATGTCAACACTGGAGAGCTGAGGTAGGAGGATTGCAAACTTGAGTCCTGCCTGTGTGATGCTGTCTCAAAAAAAATATGACATGTATATAGTATTTTTTTAAGGACAAAGGGACACAAGATGGTTCTTCTGGAAGACAATAGTTCTGAAGTAACCTCTGAGAAAAGCATTATGTGTGTTTCAGCAGATGTGTGCAGTCCTGGTATTAATCTCTCGTGGCTGGCATAATAAATTACCTTTAGCCATGTGGCTTAAAACAGCAGCAGTTTGTTCTTCTTAAGGTTCCAGAAATCAAAAAGTCGGAAATGAAGGCAGGGTGGTGCTCCCTCCAGCCTCCGGCTGCAGGTATTCATCAGCTCTGGACGTCAGTCTCTGTGTCTGAGTCAAACGGTTGTCTGTCTGTGCCTCGTGTGAGTCTTGGGACCTGGCATACTGTGATGCTGAGCACACAGTCTTGGGGCTGCCTACCCCTGACCATCTGCTTCTTAGCTGCTCCTGAACCAGTGTTAGGTGGTAGTGGTGGGGGCGGGGGGGGGGGGGGAAGTACTTATCTCACAGCACCTTTGTGAGGACTGGCATGTACTTGTAAAGAGCTCAGAGTCGAGCAGGCAGGCAGACAAGCCCTGCCAATGCGTACCAGGCCATGGTTCTGCAGCTTGCTGGGCTCCATTTGGTCTCACTGTCCTGTGATCTTTCTGCTTCCCCATTTAAAAACGTGGCTGTCACAGGATTCAAATCCCTTACTCTTCTGGCTTCTCTTTCATGTCGGTCACCATTCTAGCCATTTGATATTCATTATCATCTCTGAAAATCACAACTCTGACCATTCTGTAGATAAAAAAAAAAAAAAAATCTCAGGGAGGTTACACAACTTGCCCAAAGCCTCACGGTTTGCAAGTGGCCAAGCGAGGAACACAGCCCAGTGTGTTCTCTCCTCTGGTTAATTCCCTGTCATGTGGTCTCTTCCATGTTACATGAATTTGACTGGTTTTATCTTCCCCTTAAAGGCATTTCTTAGAGTTGTGACAGTCTTAGCAAGAGAAGTGCCTACTTTCCCAAATGTCAACATTATTACGCAATACAGTTGAGACATGAGTCATGTGACCAGTCTTCAGTGGTGTGTGTGTGTGTGTGTGTGTGTGTGTGTGTGTGTGTGTGCATGCACACAAGCTTGTGTGTATACATCTGTATCATGTGTTTTCTTCAGAAGTAGGTCCCATGTCGCCTGCAATCCCTCCCCCGTCTCACTGGTTCCTCTCCTCTCTGCTTATGTCTCCAAACAGGTCTCCAGTGTCTCCCCTCAGACCCGCTGCTCACTAGCTGCTATCCTTGCCCCATCACTCCTTGCTGGCCCTTCCCAGTCTGAGAAGACTTCCTCTTATGTTTGGTGAGTAAGGATGAACAGTAAGAGGTTGCTCTTCCCTTCCTCCTGAAAGCAGAAGTAATGTCTACCCATGCTTATCACTGTCTTAACTCGTTTTGTTTGTTTTTTTGTAAAGATGGGAGAATGGCAGCCGGTGAGATCAATTAGGGGATGGTCATGTAGCTCATGTATTCAGTTCTTTGCAAAAGCCGAACAAGTGTACAGGGACTCTTCTTAAAAGTGTCTGGCTAGCCCTTCATTCTCTTTGCCTTTCGGCCATGACTGCAAGTGTTCTCAAATTCGAAATGGTCTTTAGAAAACGAATTTCTAAGTTGGCATTGAAGGATCCCAGCGTTGCTTGCTCTTCCAGGATTAAAACTAAGAACACCCAATAGTATCAAATGTTCGTCAGACTGTGAAGTCAGGCTAAATGTGTATCAACCACAAAAAACTGACTTTCCAAACAGCAAACCATGAGCCTTATTTTATTTTTAAAGTTTCTCTGTCAGTCTCAGAATGTTCAAAGCATGCTTGAACGGCAGCGGCGATTTTGGGGGGCAAATGTGAAGGACTGTCGTAGCAGAGAACTGACCGAGTCTCGTAACTTCCTATTCTAATAGTGATTTAAAATTCATCCCGGAAACGCAAGAAAGACAAAACATACCTTAGATAGATATTTCTAGTAATTCCAAAATGTTCATAATTTGCTTGCTTTTGTGCTTCCAAGGATTTAGACGCCGATTTAGACTGCAGCTCTGCTTTGGAATGATTTTATACGTGGGGTAATTCCACCGAGGGCCAAGAGATGGCGCCAAACCGCTCACGTACCGCGGTTCCCGGGCTAAGGACTGGGCTTATTTTTTCAGAGCACTTCAGAGGTTACTTTCTCTTCGGAGAAGGAAGTCTTGGTAAGTATGAAGGCTTTTCTGGATTTTTTTTTTTTTTTTTCAGATTATTGCGTTGACGCTTCAAATGGGAAAGAAAACGGCAAGGGCCGTGTAGGGAATAGGTAACCTTCCTTTGAAATGTTTGCAGAACGACTCTGCGGTTGGTGTTTTAAAGCGGGGCTGTCCTTTGAAGTACCTAAGGCAGTGTGACTTAACGGGAGACAGACAACAGCTGGCATTTCCGTAGCCAAGGAAGTGAGCCGACGTGTGTGTGTGTGTGTGTGTGTGTGTGTGTGTGTGTGTGTGTGTGTGTGTGTGTGACTGTCCGTTCCCCCTCCCCCCTCCCTTCCCCCCCTTCCCCCCCCCCCCCCCCCCCCCCCGCCCCGTCCGTCCCCCAACACCCCGGGGGTTGGGCTGTTTTCTCCTTTCTTGAAGTCTGTAGTCCTTTGTGGTCCTGACATCACACTGTCTGCGCTGGATGTATGGAAACAGTGTTTCATTTCCCAGTCACGTGGTACTATGATCTCTAATCGCTCTGCACCTCCCACTGATTTATGAGCATTTTGGAGGAAAGTCTAATTCAGTCACTCCCATGCGATTTCATATCCCCATCCCTAGTTCCTACCGTGCCCCGGGTCCAAAGGGGACTCTGAACGAACATTGTTTAAGTGGTTGGAAGTGACTGAGACCAGATTCCCACACTCTGTAACTTGAGTCCAGCACTCTTCCTCCGCCCAAAGTTTGACAGACTTAATGACAAAGCTCTTCTCATGCTTGCCTTTGCTTACGGCTATTAACTACCCTTCCCCTTCTCGTAGCTGGAATTTTCACAGCGACTCCCTCCAGCCGCCACCTTTTTCTGGTTTTGAAATAGGGGTTGTGTTGACTGTTCTTCTTTCACTTTTTGTTTGCTGTATTCAACTCTTACTCCTGTCCCCTCATCCTTCCTTTTAAAAACATAAACTCTTGAATTTCCAGTGATATCTTCCTGCTGTCCCACCCCCTCAACTGTGCATACACTGAGGTTCGGGACTGCTTCTCAGAACGTGTGCTAAGAACTGCTTGAGGTTTTGAGCAACCTCCAGGACTCATATGTGCCCTTATGGCCACATGGTGGCTGAATGACAGTCCCCTGGACAAGACACACAAGCTATCAGAGGAATTTGTAGGATGGGACTTCATCCACGCATATTAATTCTCTACCATTAATTCATCTAGCCGTGTTGAAGAGGTTGACCCTCTTTGTATATGTACTAATACTATAAATAATACAAGCATGCTTATTTACATGTAAAATTTTACTTTGGGTATGTCTCAGGTGGATTTTAAATTTTTCTAATTCTTTGAGAATTTCATACACTGTATTTTGATTGTATTCACCCTCCCAACTCTTTCCTGCTCTACCCCTCTTCCCTCCCCACCCACCTTAGAGTCTTCTGTTTCCCTCCTCAACCCATCAACTCCAATTTGTGCTATCCGTAAACCCTTGGGTACGTGACCTTCCACTGGATCACGTCAGACCTACCAAGGGCTCCACCCTGAAAGAAAACTGACCCTCCCTCCCCCAGCAGCTGTCAATTGCCAAGAGTTCCTCAGCTAGAGGGGGGACTTTATGACCACCTCCCCTTCTGCACTGGGATTCTGTTAAAGACAACTTTTACATGATTGTAAGATACTATTCTGAAATTATAAAAGATGTTAAAATTTTTGAAATTTTAGAAATACTTGAAAGTATAAGAAAGAAAATTAAAGCTGTGATTCGGACACAACTACCATTAGCATTTGGCATAAATTTTGCCCCCTAGGTTTTGTGTGTGCTAAGTTATAATTTGCATTTTTACAATTAGACTCTCAGTACATATGCAACTTTGTAACCTTCCACTCACTTAAGGTTATGTTGCAGGATTTTGTTTGTTTGCTTGTTTGTTTTTTGAGACAGGGTTTTTCTGTGTAGTCCTGGCTGTCCTGGAACTCACTATGTAGACCAGAGTGGCTATGAATTCACAGAGATCCACCTGCCTCTACTTCCAGAGTGCTGGGATTAAAGGTGTGCGCCACCATCGCCCGGCTGTGGGATTTTTTTTTTTAATGCTGTATCTGAAGCTGCGTGTTATGAATGAGTTATCGCTTTCTACACTAGCCATTCTTATCTTTTCAATTTTCGTCACATCATGAGCACTCCCATAATCTCACTTTTGTGAGTACCTCTAATGATCCCTTCGGTGATTGCTCAGCAGTAGGATTGCCAACATAAAGAGAGGGGTATTTTTAAAGAACTTGCATAAATTACCATCACCCAATAAAATTGTACTAATTTTTCTTTCCTGCCTGAGTAGTAACTGAGAGTCATTCTCTTAGTTCCCACCTACTGATGTTGAGTGTTTTATCTCTGCATTTTTTTTTAAAATTCTTCTCTCATATATTGCATCCTAGACACAGTTTCCCCTCCCGCCACTCCTCCCAGTCCGTCCGTCCGCCAAGCCTCTCCTCTCTCCCGGAACCATCCCTCCGCCGTTTGATGGCATAACAAATTACACTAAGATTAGGCACATATCCTCACATCAAGGCTGGACCAAGCAGCCCGATAGGAGGAAAAGGGTCCCAAAAGTAGGCAAAAGAGTCAGAGTCAGCCCCCACTCCCACTGTTAGGACTCCCACAAGAACACCAAACTACACAACCATAACACAGATGCAGAGGATCCAGCTCAGGGCCATGCAGGCTCCCTGATTGTGGCTTCAGTCTCTGTGAGCCCCTATGAGCCCTGCTTAGTTGGTTCCGTGAACCATGTTCTCCTGGTGTCCTGACCCCTCTGGCTCCTACCATCCTTCCTCCCCTTCTTCCACAGGGTTCCCTGAGCTCTGCCTCGTGTTTGGCTCGGGGTCTCCGCATCTGCTCTCATCAGTTGCTGGATGAAGCCTCCCCCGGTTACTCAGCAATACGAGGCTCTATTTAAGAAATGCCTGCTTTTGGGCCCCAAGCTCACAAATAATTTTATGTATAAAACAGAACCCGAAGGTGGAGCCGGCCAGGTTGTCTCAGCCATTTGTCCTCAGTGAAACACGAGGTCTGTGGGCTTGTGCACCTGCCTCCATATCTCAATTCAGGTCATCTTCTCTCATTACTTGATGTCATTGATATGTACATCAGGACCTGTGACCTGATGTGATGCATGTGAGACCTTCTGGGCTCTGAAAAAAAAAAAGTTATTGCTGACATACTTTAGCCTCACACACCTTCTAGAGTCTTCCATGTGCTTTATCTTTTCTTCATGAAACATGCTGTCCCTATGTAGCCAAGGCTGACCGAAAGCTCTCAATCCCCTTGCCTAGGCTTCTCTAGGGCAGAGATCATCCTGCATCACTGTGGCTGGCTTTTCTCTCGTGCTTTGACATAGTTCCTCTCTTCCCCCATTCTGTGTTAACGGCAGGAACTTCAAAGTCTCTGAATCTCGTTACCCTCAGTCTGCAGTCTCTAGGCTAGTAGTTGTTGGAGAAATACATACTCCTGTTTATGAAACCTGTGTCAAAAGGTGAGATCCAGAGACTAAAAATAAGTCTCTAGCATCAAAAGGACAAATGGAATGAACCTCTGCTAGGATCCAGATGCTTCTGTGTTCTCTGGAACGTGTATGCGGACACCGAATTGCCAGGGTGGTAGTATCAGGGCATGGGGGAGAGCAGGAGGGTAGGAGGGCAGGATGCCACTGTGAGAATTAAGTTGTTTGTGGAGACTTCTTTGACTTCAAAGGCTAGTACACAGTCTCCTGCTGGCTTCTGTCCCCCGTGTGGCTCAGATAGTTTTCTGTGCAATTCAGAGCCTGAGTGGTATGGATTCTTGAGTGTGTATCTGTGTGGGTGCCTCTGCGCCTCTTCGCCTCCCTTCCCCTGCCTCTGGCCCCTCTCCCTTTCTCTCCTTGCCCCACTTTCCCTGTGGATATTTATCCCCTCTCCTTTCCTCTTACTCCTTTGCTGTGTCTGCTGCTCTGTTACCTCTGGCTCAGGTAGCTGCAGCTCCTGTATTGGGTCTTCAGATTTTGGTTTTTGACAAACACCACCCAGCAGGCTGCTCCAGCCCTGAGAAAGTTTTGGGTGTGCAACAAAGGCAAACCCTCCCAAGAATCCATTTGGAAGCCCCCACACTAGTCAAGACACACAATCACTCAAAGTTCATATTGTCCCCTATAGCCACAGACTGAGAAAATATTACATAAAAGCATGGGATAGTGATGAATGCTAGAGTGGATGAAGAAGGCACTTGGGATTCTGGGAAATGGAAGCTTAAAAGCCATTACCTAATCTTTATTCACCTTAAAGTCTTATTTCTAGAGCTTGAACCCAAGTGAAAATGCTGTGGAGAAAATGGTAATGACCCTTTGGGATAGCGGTTGCAACATGACCCGAGACAGAGAACCCGTTCTGGGAAGTTTTCATTTTGTTTGCATCCTGGCCTTCATAGTCAGAAGCATGATCCAGTTCTCTGAGTCACTTGAGTTCACGGTAGACTATTCAAACAGGAACCTTACTCATGTCCCCAAAGACCTGCCACCAAGAACAAAAGCCTTAAATCTGTCTCAAAACTCTATACTCGAGCTTCAGGTGTCTGACGTCAGCTTTCTGGCAGAGCTGAGGGTTCTGAGACTCTCCCATAACAGAATCCAGAGACTTGATTTCGGTGTGTTCAAGTTCAACCCAGATTTAGAATACCTGGACGTCTCCCACAATCAGTTGCGGGACATCTCTTGCTGTCCTGTGGTGAGCTTGAAGCATTTAGACCTCTCATCTAACGACTTTGACGTGCTGCCCGTGTGTAAAGAATTTGGCAAGTTGACAAAGCTGAGTTTCTTGGGATTAAGTGCTACGAAGTTCCGACACCTGGATCTGCTGCCTATTGCTCACTTGCACCTAAACTACATTCTTCTGGACTTAGTGGGCTATCATGGAAAAGACGGCGAGAGAGAAAGTCTTCAGGTTCTGAACACCAAGGCCCTCCACTTGGTCTTCCATCCAAATAGCTTGTTCTCTGCGGAGGTGAACATATCTGTGAATGCCTTGGGATGTTTACAACTGAGTAATATTAAATTGAATGATGGACACTGTCAAAGGTTAATTACGTTTTTATCAGAACTCACCAGAGGTCCAACCTTATTAAATCTGACTCTCCAGCACATGGAAACAACCTGGAAATGCTTGGTTCAACTTTTCCAGTTCCTTTGGCCCCGACCGGTGGAGTACCTCAACATTTACAACTTAACCATAGTTGAGAGCATCAATAACGAAATTTTTATTTACTCCGAGACGGTACTGAAGGCATTGACCATCGAGCATGTGACAAACCAGGTGTTCATCTTTTCAAAGGAGGCACTGTACTCCGTGTTTGCTGAGATGAACATCGGGAGGCTGACCATCTCAGACACGCCGTTCATCCACATGCTCTGCCCTCCGTCCCCAAGCACGTTTGTGTTTCTGAACTTCAGCCAGAATGTTTTCACCGACAGTGTTTTCCAAGGCTGCTCCACCTTAAAGAGATTGGAGACGCTTATCTTACAAAAGAACGGCTTGAAGAACTTTTTCAAGGTAGGTCTCATGACTAAGAATATGTCCTCTCTGGAAACTCTGGACGTTAGTCTGAATTCCTTGGACTCTGGCGCACACGAAGGAACATGCACTTGGGCTGACAGCATACTGGTGCTAAATTTGTCTTCAAATGTACTTACTGATTCTGTCTTCAGATGCTTGCCTCCCAAGGTCAAGGTCCTTGACCTTCACAACAACAGAATAACGAGCATCCCCAAAGATGTCACCCACCTGCAAGCTTTGCAGGAACTCAACGTTGCATCCAATTCTTTAACGGACCTTCCTGGATGCGGGGCCTTCAGCAGCCTCTCTGTGCTGGTCATTGAGCATAATTTGGTTTCCCACCCCTCAGCAGATTTCTTTCAAAGCTGTCAGAAGATTAGGTCCATAGCAGCAGGGAACAACCCATTCCGATGTACATGTGAGCTGAGAGAATTTGTCAAAAACATCGGCCGAGTATCAGGAGAAGTGGTCGAGGGCTGGCCTGATTCTTACACGTGTGACTCCCCAGAAAGCGCTAAGGGGACCCCACTGCAGGACTTCCACATGTCTGCATTGTCCTGTGATACTGTTCTGCTGATTGTCACCATCGGGGTCACTTTGCTGCTGTTGGCTGCCATCGTGGTTTTCCTCTGCCTCCGCTTTGATCTGCCCTGGTATCTGAGGATGGTGTTTCAGTGGACACAGACCCGGCACAGGGCCAAGAACATCCCCATAGAGGAACTCCAGAGGAATTTCCAGTTTCACGCTTTTGTCTCATACAGTGAGCATGATTCCACCTGGGTGAAGAATGAATTACTACCAAACCTAGAGAAAGATGGCATACGGGTTTGCCTCCATGAGAGAAACTTTGTCCCTGGCAAGAGCATTGTGGAGAATATCATCCATTTCATCGAGAAGAGTTACAAGTCCATCTTCGTGTTGTCTCCCCACTTCATCCAGAGTGAGTGGTGCCATTATGAACTCTACTTTGCCCATCACAATCTCTTCCATGAAGGGTCTGATAACTTAATCCTGATCTTACTGGAGCCCATCCTCCAGGACAACATTCCCAGTAGGTATCACAAGCTGCGGGCTCTCATGGCACGGAGGACTTACTTGGAATGGCCTACAGAGAAGGGCAAACATGGGCTCTTTTGGGCCAACCTGAGAGCTTCTTTTATTCCAAGGTTATCGTTAGTCAATGAAGAAGATGTGAAGACTTGAAGCTTGGATTTCCCACTTAATAATCTGTCAACTTGGATTCTGATGAGCACTGTGGTTTTAAGTCCATATCTGGGGGTACTTCTTGTATGGTGTCCTGGTTTGGCTTCTGTGACCATGATAAACAACATGACCAAAAGCATCCTGTGGAAGAAAGAGGGTTTTTTTTGGCTTATGGTTGTGGTCTCCCATGAAGGGAAGTCAGGGCAGGAACTCAGAGCAGGAATCTGGAGACAGGAACTGAAGCAGAGACCGTGGAAGAATGCTGCTTCCAACCTTGCTCTCTGAATCTTGTTCAATGTGCTTTCTTATAGCACTGAGGAGCACCTGCCCTGGGGTGGCACCACTCACAGTGGCCTGGACCCTCCCACATCAATATTAATCAAGAAAATTCCCCCCCCCAAGCTTGCCTGCAGGCTAATCTGATTGAGATATTTTCTCAATTGAAGTTCTTTCTTCCCAAATGTGACCCTAGCTTGTGACAAGTGTACAAAACAAAACAAAACAAAACAAAACAAAACTAACACCTATGGTTTGGAGATAAAACGTCCCCAAAGGCTTCTGCTTGGAGGCCTTGGGGGGAAATCTAATAGTGCTATTTATAAGTAGTTTATGAAGGTGCTAACTTAATCAATGGACTTACCCACTGCTGAGTTCACAGCTGAATGGACAAGGAGGATGGGGGCCCTAATTGTAGGAAGTAGGTCATTAGGTTCATGTCTCTGAAGGCTGTGTTTTCTTCAAGACTCATTTTTCTTACTGTTCTTAAGTCAGTGTTGGAGCATATGTAGTTCAGTTAGTCCCTGAGCTCAGTGTGACCCTTCTGCCTCAGCCTCCCAAGCGCTGTGTGACAGGGATGAACCACCACAGTTAGCTTATGAGTGTGCTCTCTCTCCCCCACCCCCTTCTCTCTGCCTCCTCATCATCATAAGGTGAACCACCCCTCCATCACATACCCCCACTGCCATGATACTCTGCATGCCCGCAGGTCCCCAAGCCAGGGACTCAGGTGAACCTGGACAGAAGCCATGAGCGTTTTCTCCTTTGTTTACACGAGGTCTTCAGTCACAGTGGCACAAAGCTGACAGACCCAGCTTCTGTCTCCTTCATGTCTTTGACAGAGAGTAGATGAAAGCGTTGATGCCACTGAACTACGAGATGCGGCTGAGGGATGGGTGTGGCGCTCATTTTGTTAGTCAGAGGCAGTTCAGTCTCATCTGGCTTAGCTGTCTGCTCTCATGTCGACACAGTCCTTTTTAAGTAAATGCTCCATCATCCATAGAGCGTTCCTGCCCCCTCCTCCTTTCCCAGATGGACTCAGTGTGAGCAGGAGTCTACGTGGCTTCATGTTAGCAAGAAAGAGGGCAACGGTATGTCCTCAGAGAGTCCTGTAGATCCTTGTTGGCCTTTGACTTTCCTCTCCTGTGTGTGTGTGTAGGAGATTGGTAAAAGTTTCTGAACAGCAGTTTGTCAGTAGGCATGAAGAGCTGAAGCACGTTCACAGGTTTAGAGAAAAAAAATCTCCACTGATGCTATAAAAATGTGGTGGAATTATTGTGGACTTAATGTTTTTCTTTTCACTTATTTGTGTGTTCTTATTTTTCTTAAAAGAGTTTTATTTGGTTAATAAAAATTGAAATTACTAAGAACTTTCATTTGAGAAAAACATAGATACAGATATTTGATCTTGTTGTAGGAAAGAACTTTAAAAATATCAAAGTAGCAGGGCATATGCCTTTAACCCTGTCCTCGGGAAGCAGAAGAGGACAGATCTCTGCGTTTGAAGCTAACCTGGTTTACACAGCGAGACTCTATCTCAAAAACAAACAAATAAAATGCCATAGGCATGCTGGGGCCAGTGTCTCTGTCCAGGTTTCTATTACTGTGAAAAGACGTCATGACCATGGCAACTGCTATAAAGAAAAACATTTCATTGAAGCTGGCTTACAGTTTCAGAGGTTTAGTCCATCATCATCACCATGGCAGGAAGCATGGCTGCACACAGGCAGACATGGTGCTGGAGGGGTAGCTGAGAGTCCTGCATCTGGATGAGCAGGCAGCAGGAAGAGAGAGTCACATTGGGTCTAGCTTGGGCATCTGAAACCTCAAAGCCCACCTTCATGACATACTTTCTCCAGCAAGGCCACACCTACTCCAACAAGGCCACCCCTTCTAACAGTACCACTCCCTGTGGGCCTATGGGGTCCATTTTCATTCAAACCACCACAGCCAGCTTCTAAAGACTGGTCATGGCCAACTGCTAAATATCCATCAATTCTGCAGCCAGATCAGCTGGCAGCCAGAATCAGCTGTGGAGGGAACGCTGGCATTCCAAATATCAACAAATGCTACAAACCTGAGTCTTGTTAAGTTCATCAGCACTCAACTGAATGGCAGCAACAACCATGGAAATCTATTGATATAAAATATGTAGATCCATTGTTTCAAAAAAAAAAATCATGAAGTAGAAAGATGAGCGGGGAGTGAAATGTCTGCACAGAGTTGGAAGGGCCAATGTCAGTAACATAATGGAGAATGTACAATAAGGTACTAAACTATGATCCCAGTATGAAAACAGTTATATCAGGTGAACAAATAATTCACTGGAGAGCTACAAACTGTCACTGAACAGGAAAACAGCTCAGTGATACAATAAAGTGAAAAAGAAACAATTAGGAAGCATTGCTGCACATCCTGAAGGGGAGAGACTCTGCCCAGCCCACACATGACAAACCTAAGTGTGGTCAGAAGACGCCCCTGGTGTGGCATTTTCAGTTCTGTGATTATAGGTGATGATGTGTTAATGGGCTACACCTGCTTTTAGGTGTGTTTCCAGGTCTTGAATGTTTGATGCCATTGCTATTACAGCAGGGTGGTGGGCGTTTCCCCCCTTTGAAGTGGTACTGGAGATCCTGCCTCCACGCACACGCTACTCAATGAGAAGATGCCCAGATAAAACCAGAAGTTATCCAAACAAGCAGACCCAAAAATCACAACACAGGGACACAAGAAGCATGGGAAAGCAAAGCAACACAGCCCTTCAAAAGATCAGACGAGAGAGGTGAACTGTGGAATACAAAGATACCGAAATGGTGTCGCGCCCCTGGTGACTGACCACGTTCCCGTGAAAGACCACACATCCATGAGTGTTTGAGCAACTTAAAATGGTCTTGAAGAATCTTCTTGAAAGGACACAGAGTTGAGTAGTTAGGGAAGGGGAGTGGGTCTGGGAAGAGTCGGGGGATGAATTTGATCAATACACATTGTACAAAACTTTCAGTGAACTAGTAGGAATTTAAAAGCTACTGAAGATAATAAAATGCAAGGTAAGGAAGCAACAGAGAAGAAAACGTCAGCCACAGGGGTGAGGAAAATTAGCAATATGGACGAAAAAGCTAACAACATGGAAGAAGATTCGGCAAGGGAAGCAAGATTCTGAAAAAAGCTGGGAATGACGAGATTCAATACATCAAATGGAAACACAGTGGAGGGTGTCGCTAATCAACTAAACCAAGCAGGAGAGAGAGTATCGAGGATGGGGGATATGGCTGACAAAACACTGCACTGAAATATCAATCTGGAGAAACAATGGGCATGCCCACAACCTCTAAGAATGCTGAGACATGGCTGAGAGACCGAGCCTAGGAATCCGTGGGATAGGAGAAGGGGCTGAGGTAGACACCAACAGCACAGGAAATCTATTCAATGATGTTACAGCAAAAATTCTCAAAATCTGGACATTCAAACACAAGACGCAATTAGAACTCCAAGTGGACATGGCCAGGAAAGCCCTTTTCTCGGATGTGTTATAGTCAAAATGTCAACAATACAAAGCAAAGAAGCCATACTAAAAGCTGCAAGGAGAAAACTCGTAAATACAAACATCAGAATAACATCAAATTTCTTCTTGTCAGCAGCCCTAAAATCCAGGAAAGTAGGAGGGTATTGTAGCACAAATCTTAAAAGTACTTATTAATAAAATCAAACCTAAAGCCAGGTATTGAGGTGAATGCTGAAAGATCAGAGAAGCAGAACAAGCCACAGCCACCTCACCTCGCCAGTTCCTCAGCTGATCCTGTTTCCTCAGACTGGAAGCCTCTGAGTCTTCATCCAAATGGATCTCAGCTGAACTGCTGCTCAAAAGCCTAAAAGCTTAACCAGCTAAAAGCTTCTAGTTTCTGGTCTTCATGCCTTATATACCTTTCTGCTTTCTGCCATCACTCCCTGGGATTAAAGGCTCATTTTCTGGGATTAAAGACGTGAGTCACCATGTTTGGCTGTATCCTTAACCACACAGAGATCCAGGTAGATCTCTGCCTCTGGAATGCTAGAATTAAAGGCGTGTGCTACCACTGCCTATCCTCTATGTTTGATATTGTGACTGTCCTGTTCTCTGACCCCAGATAAGTTTATTAGCGTGTACAATATTTTGGGGAACACAATACCACCACAGGGTATATTTCAAACTCTGAAAGTAAGTAATTGCCAAGCAAGTTTGTTATATCCAATTAAACTATCTTTTTAAATCGGTGGGTAAATAAGGGCACTTCAAGACAAGCATAAACTAAGACAGTTTAGGATATTAGTCTGGTACTGTAGAAGATAGGAATACACAGAGGTGAAAGAAATACAGTCTTAATATTTCTCTTTTATGAAGCAGTTTGAGTAATATTGGTACTAGGTCTTCCTTAAAAGTTTGGGAGATTTTTCAGTTTATTTTTTTAAGGTGAGTTTTTATAGTTTTCCTTGATGAGGATGGAGAAACTGAGAGATTGCTCCATGGGCAAAGCATTTGCTGCACGAGTGTGAGGAATTGAATATGGATATGCGTTGCCCACATAAATGCCAGGCAAGTGTGGAGGCCACCCTGTACTACCAGTTCTGGGGAGGCAGAGACAACAGATTCCTGGGGCAAGCAGAGCCAGTTAGACTAGATGAATCCAAAAGCTCCAGGTTCAAGCTCCAGGTTGAAGCTTTGCCTCAAAATACAAGGTAAAGAGTAATTGCACAATACATACAACATCAGCTTCTGGCCTTCACACCCATGTGCGCACATATGCACACAAACATGCACACACACACGCGCACACGCACGCACGCGCGCGCGTGCGCGCACACACACACACACACACACACACACACACACACACACACACACACAGCCACACACACAGTGGCTCATGCATATGCACAACACAGGTCAAGATAAAAAGTATTCATTAATAATTCTCTAGGATATGCCATAATCTACCCTGCTTCTTCTCTAATTTTATTAATTTATGTTTTCTCTTTTTTGTGATTAGTTTTGGCTAGCATTTTGTTTATCCCATTAATTTTCAAAAAACTACCTTTTTGATTATTCTAGTGTGGTTATTATATTCTCTTTTAGTCTCTGCTTTATAAATTCAAGAAGATCAATAAGATAAGATCCAATGTATAGATTCTTTAAGAAGACCATAGGTTATGACCAAGTTGGTTTCGATCCATGGTTCAGCGAACACAAATTATTAAGTGTAATATGGTGCTCCACAAAATGCCTAATATTTAACAAAGGTGTCAAAAACATGCATTGGAGACCATCATAGTGATTCATGTCTTCAATCCCAGCAGTCTGGAGGAAAAGGCAAGTTGATCTCTATGAGTTTGAGATTAACCTGTCAACCTCATCTAGATAGTAAGTTCCAGGTCAGCCAAGCCTACACAGTGAGACACATTCTCAAAACAAAACAAAACTGAAAAAAAAAAAAACCAAGCAAACAAACAAACCAAAACCAAACCAACCAACCAAACAAACAAAAACTAACGAACCCCCACAAAAACAGACACTGGAGAGAGACAGCCTCTTCAACAATTGGAGTAGGAAAAACTGGATACCCACATGTAGCAGAATGAGACTAGACCCATATCTCCCACCTTACACAAAAATAAATTCAAAGTGCTTCAGAGACTTGGAGGTAAGGCCTAAAACCTCGAGACTGCTAGAGGAAAACCCTTCAAGGTACAGACATGGAAAAGGATTCCAGTAGTTTGGGAAACAATCCCAGGAACCAACAAATGGGATTGCATGAAATTAAAAACCCCTGCCCAGAAAAGCAAGCAATAACCAAAGCGAAGAGACAGCCTACAGAATGGGAAAAACTATTTGCCAACACCATATTTGATGTGGAATTAATAGTTGGAATCTATAAAGAGCCACATGCTGTGGGATGTTCTGTATGGCAAATGTGTTGCTCTGATTGGTCAATAAATCACTGATTGGCCATTGGCTAGGCAGGAAGTATAGGTGGGACAAGGAGGAGAATAAAGCTGGGAAGTGGAAGGCTGAGTCAGAGAGACACTGCCAGCCGCCACGATGAGAAACAGCATGTAAAGTACCGGTAAGCCACAAGCCACGTGGCAAGGTATAGATTAATAGAAATGGATTAATTTAAGCTATAATAACAGTTAGCAAGAAGCCTGCCACGGCCATACAGTTTGTAACCAATATAAGTCTCTGTGTTTACTTGGTCGGGTCTGAGTGGCTGTGGGACTGGCGGGTGAGAGAGATTTGTCCTGACTGTGGGCCAGGCAGGAAAACTCCAGCTACAGCCTCAAGAATTAAATAAACATTAAAGAGCCCAAATTACTTGACTAAACAAGCTAATGCATCCAACAGACAATTCTCAGAAACATAAACTGCCAATAAATTCTTGGAAAGTGTTCAACACCCTTCAGCATTAGGAAAATAGGAACTGAAGCTGTGGTAAGATTCCATCCCAATGTGGTCACAAGGGCCATAACCAAGACACCAAAGGACACCAAATGCCGGCAAGGACGGGGAAAGGGGGCGTCTTTATACAGATTCGGTGTGAATGCAAACGTGTGTAGCCACTATGGAAATCAGAACGGAGCTGGACCAAAAGACTAAAAATATAGCTGTCCTATGACCCAGTTACTCGATTCAGATTATATTCCAATTACATGTTCAAATTGGGACAAGTATAATGACACATACGCAAATGCCACAATGAAGCCTATTAACCTGTGTGGTTAGTATTGCTTATCAGCTTGACAGGATACAGGACCACCTAAGAGACAAACCTCTGGGCTTGTCTGTGAGTGATTTCTAGATAAGGCCGAGGTGGAAAGATGCACCCTAAATGTGGGCAGTCCTGCCCCAAGGGCTAAGATTCCTGAGTAAGTAAATAGAAGATAGGCTAGTACCAGCTCTCATCTCTGTCTGCTTCCTTTCTATGGATGTAGCGAGACCAGCTGCCTCCCTTGCCTGTTGCCATGACTTCCTCATGATGAGAAACTGTACCTTCAAGCTGTGAGCCAAAATAAAACCAACTGTTGTTTTTGTCTAAGTTGTTCTATTTACCAATCAAGACTTGGGAGTCAGATGTTGGGGTGAACATCTGCTAGATCAGAGAGGATGAGCAGCAACCAGCTGACCCTCCTTTTTGGCTGGAGATCCAGCAAGAGAAGCATCTCTCCACTTATTCCAAATCAAGAAGACCGTGGACCTCTAAGTCCCTCCCTACTCCTTCCTGTGTGTCTCTCTATCCATATTCCTGGGTCCTCCATACCCTCTATGGCTAATTCTTGTCAGTTAGTCACTGGCTCCACCCCCTGACCCAAGGTTAATTTTATTAACATAGTCTTGGACTTTCACAGTGCCATCAAATATCCTGCAACATTTCCCCCTTTTGTCTAAATAAAAAGGAAAGGTTTTAACTCTAACACAGTAAAACTATATACAATAAGAACAATTACCAAGTAAAAATTACATTTGCAATGCCCACTCCATTAGTATTTGGTAAATTTGGAGAAAGAACTCTATTATCTATGCCATCTTGGTGCGTCCAAAGTTTTATACCTAAACCACTTTCTATCATAACTTGTATTACCAACTTAAAATTATCTTTTTAGACCTTAAACCATTTTCTTAGATAAACAACTTAAGCTTTTACAGCTCTCAACCTTATAAACTTTACATCTCTTTTGTTTCACAGTGTGATCAAATATCCTGCCACAGCCAACTAGCCTTTCTTTCTTTCTTTCTTTCTTTCTTTCTTTCTTTCTTTCTTTCTTTCTTTCTTCCTTCCTCCCTCCCTCCCTCCCTCCCTCCCTCCCTCCCTTCCTCCCATTGCTTTTGTCTGGCATTGTAACAGTAACAAGAAGTAAATAATATAAAACCTGAAGGATTCTAAGTCACCACACCACAGACACGGCCCCATGGGTACTGCTATCCATTCATAATGACCAGGGAATAGCTCTAGCACAGGTAACCCTCAGTGGACAAAGGAAATATGATCCACATATACAATACAATGTTATTCAACTCCAAAGAAAAGTGCAATCCAGACATTTGCCGGGGAAAGAATGGACCTGCAGATCATTGTGTTAATGTAAATAAAGCAAACACCAAAAGACAAATGTCCCATTTTCTTTCATAGATAGAACTTACATTTAAAATTATATTTGAATTATATGTTCAAATTGGGACAAAGTATAATTACACATATGCAAATGCATAATAAAGACCACGACTTTGTTTGCTAATTTTAAAAAGAAAGGAAGTACACCCTCCCAGCTAGGCTTGGTGGTATACCCTCATAACCCCAGCACTCAGGAGTGAAGTGAGAGGATTGCGAGCTCAAAGCCAGACAGATCTACACAGAAAGACCTGTCTTCACAAAACAAAGTGAGTGACAGCTCGCCTTGCATTGTACAACTGACACTAAAATTCTTACCATATAGAGATCCAGAATAGTCAACGTGAGCTGAGAAAGAAGGACTTGTACTCTTCTGACTTTAAAACTCACTACAAGACTACAGTGACCAAAATGGAGCCATCCAACACAAGGATAACAAGTTAATTAACAGTGTATCATTTAGAGTACAGAAGTAAGCCTGTGTATTTTTGCTCAGTTGACTTCCAACAATGGTGCCAAGACCATCCCATGGAAAAAAGAAGTCTTCTCAACCACGGGGCTGAGACAATTGGATATCCACACCCCAAAACAGTTTGATCCCTGCCTCACACCATGTTCGATGAAAGATCACCAAATGCTGAAGGATTAGGTTTATCTTGGTGACTGAGTGCTCGCCTGGCATGCGTAAGGATCTGGGTTTGAGATCCTCCTAGGACAAATAAAAGGGCAGGGGAGTGGCAGATACCAAGCAGTTACCTGTTGCCTGCTAGGGGTGGTGCTTCAGGGGTGAAGCACAGACAACCATGCCTACAGGAAATGAATCTGAATGGAGATGTAGAAATGGTCAAAATGGGAAAAGACGTTTGATGCCATTATTAGACTGGGAAACACAAATTCAAGCCACAGTGTGGTACCAGTTGGTGCAGCAATCATGTGAGGTCCTGAAGCCAGCATTCCAGAACCCTCTTCCCCATCCTTCAAGCTCTCACGTGCTTTATGCTGTGTCTTCCATGATGCTCCCTGAGCCTTGGGTGAAGGTTGATAGAGATGCCCTTTTTAGGACTGAGCCCTCAGCAGTCACTTACTGTCAGTCCTTTGACAAATTAGGAATCTGTTAAGTGTTGACGACTGCAGAGAGGGGCTTCTCTGGCTAAGGTTGAAGGCGGCACTAATCTATGCTCATAAACATTCATAGTTGGAAGACAGCTTGACAACATGTTCATTTAGTAAGACAACAGCGATAAGTTCCCCTCTGGGGCTTATAACCTCCTGATTCACGGTAGTTTGACCAGGTTTACGGTACTAGGTACCAGGAAGGACTTCCTTCCTGTTAATTAGATCTGACCCAAGAGTGGTTGGTTACCTCATAACCTTTATACCACGATTGCACCAGCACATCCTTGGGCATCTCTTTAGAGCTGGGATCATAAAGCCTGTGCCTTTAGGAGCTGTGATAACTGTTCTTGGTTGTTAAGTTGACTACATCTGAAATCAACTAAAAACTCAAGCTGCTGTGAGGGATTTTCAGTTAACTGGATCTTTTGAGGCAGGAAGACCCACCTGAAGTCCAGTCATTTGAGATCAGAAGAACCACCCTAAATCTGAGCCACGCCTTCTCATGGCAGCCTATGGAGAGGACAAGGGAGAAGGGAGGTTTTGCTCTTTGCCTGCTTGTCCTCACTCTCACTGGCAAGTATTGTAGAATAATCTTTTTGTACACTGTGAAGAAATGTCACTCTGGTTTAATAAAAAAGCTAAATAGCCAATAGCTAGGCAGGATTTTGGGGGCAGAGAGAATGCTGGGAAGGACAGTGAGGAGACGCCAGGGACATAGAGCAAGCAGCATGGGCTTTACAAAATAAAGGTAACAGAGCCACATAAAAAAACATAGATTAAAAGATATGAGTTAATTTAAGTTATAAGAACTAGTTAGATACAAGCCCAAGCTATTGGCCGAGCTTTGGTAATTAATAAGGAGGCCCCATGTGATTATTTGGGAGCTGGCTGGTGGGGTAGAAAAGGTCCAACTACAGCAAGTCCATTCCTTCACTGTTATTAGAACCCACTCTCCAAGATCCCGATGTGTACTGAAGACCAGATGAGGCATCCAGCCTTGTGGACCGAGCAACTACTAGATACTTAGACTTTCCATTGTAGACAGCCATTGTTGAACTTAGACTTTCCATTGTAGACAGCCATTGTGGAACTAGCTGGACCACAGCCTATAAGCCATTCTAATAAACCTCCTGTATATAAATACAGATCCATTCTGTCGGTTCTGTTCCTCGAGAGAACCCTGACTACTACAGGAGCCAAGGGCTGAATTCTCAAAGACATCCCCTATCTCCAGTTATGAGTTTAAAGGAAGAAGTGGTGTTGCGGGGGGGGGGGGGGGGGGGGGGGGGGGGGGGGGGATGTTTCAATTTTTTTTTTCAGTTTCAGAAACATATTTAACCACACATTTTCCCCGATTAAACAAATTCTGAGATGGGGAACAAAGATAGATCATTTGGGAACTATGACAGCTATTCTTGGTTGTCAATTTGACTACTGGAATTAAATATTCTCCACTAAACAAATTCTGAGATGGGGAACAGAGACAGGTCAAAAGAAATCCCAGAGTCCTTGGTTTAGGGAACTCTGGATGAAGTGTGCAGCAGAGATGTGCAGAGGGGCACATGGAAGGAGGTGTCTTGTCTCCACATTCACACAGTGACTGAACAAGCGCGAAGGCAGCTGTCATTTAGATTTGGTTACCCATTTGTTGTGGTTGTTCTTAAAGAGTGGGACCATCAGAACAGAGTCCTTGAGTTTGCTGATCAAAACCGAGTCAGAGGAAGTATCGTGGGTCTTATTTGAGAAAGCAGAGCCTTGGTGACAGGTTTTTGTTTGTCTTTTGTTTTGTTAACACAGAGCTTTCAAACCTGACACTCTGAAGAAAGGTAGAAAATATTAATGGAAGAGCTTTGCTCCAAATTGCATCTGGAATCTAGTGACCCAGAAGACTAGCATTTGTCCTATAAGTCTCTCCGAAATTATCTTTCCTCTTTATGAGAAAAAAAAAAATCACAGGCTGAGCTCTATGAGTTTGAGGCCAGCCTGATCTACAGAGGGAGTTCCAGGACAGCCAGAGCTACACAAAGACACCCTGTGTCAAAAAACAAAACCAACAAAAAAGCCAGAGGAAAGACGAAGCAGATGAGACGCCAGAAACACCACACACCCAGCACTGTCACAACAACCATGGTAAGCAGGTGGAATTCAGCCAGTAACGGTCTACGGATTACTAACACCGCTGCTTCACTCCACCAGTGGAGACAGCAATGAGCCTACTGGAGTGAAGGATAAAGACAGAACCGTAAAGAGATTGCTCTATTTGACTACGAGTCTACGAATTCATTTCATAGGCTGTTCTACTTAGGAACAGGAGAACGTGGGCTGAAGCTTTCCATGCGGTGTGATTCCAGTAATTAACAGTAGGTGGCAGTAAAGAGCCCTTTCTTGCAATGCTGAAAGGAGATACCAAAAAAAAAAAAAAAAAAAAGAAAAGGGCTTGAGGAAGTAAGTGCTTGAATTTCTTATTGCTGTGCCCGAGAGGCAGGTTGCCTTGGTAAGTAAAACAAATTACTTTACTCTTCTAGAAATAAGGACAGTGCTAGTTGCCGTGTGGAAATAGAAAGCGTCTCTACAATCCAGTCATACGTGTTTCTCTAAATAGGCTTGCTTCTGGTAATTACTTACTGGGACTGTGTGCTTTGAAACTAGTATTTGTCCAACCTAAATCAGAGAAAGCCTTCATCTTGTGTGATTTGTTTTCAAGATGTCGTGTGTGTGTGTGTGTGTGTGTGTGTGTGTGTGTGTGTGTGTGTGTGTGTAGATGAGTCAGGGGTCCACGTGTTGGAACTTACTACCTTCTGTGAGGCAGGAAGACAGAGGAAGCTCAGTTGGACTATGGCATTTGCCCTTTGGGAGGAAACTAGGATTGGATTTGATCAGATCATCAGCGTAGAGGTCCATGATTTAATACTGGTGGCTTCATAAAAGCAGGGGAGGGACCAGAGTACATACATCTATCCCCATCTCTTGCCATGGGATGCCCCCCCCACCCCCGCTGTGCTGGGATTCTGCTATCGAGGGAGGTCATTGCCAGATGTGACCCCTTGGACTGTGGACCAAAACTGTAAAGTTAACTTCTTTTCTTTATCAAGTAGTCTGTCTCAGGCATTTCATTACACCAATGAAAACGGTCTGTGCAGTGTAATCCAGTTTCTCTGGGAGAAGAGCTGTGATGCACAGCTCCTTGTTCATGGTGAGGGTTATTTTCATTTCCATTCTGGGTTAGTCTTACTAGACACTCTTGTCTGTTTTTTCAGACTGTGGAAACTGTCCTGGGGAGGCAGAAGTCAAGCTGGAATTGTAGGTTTTGAAAATACTCTCCAAGCCACATTCAAGTTGCTCAGTGCAGAAGTTCGCAGAGTCACATAGGAAGCCGAGCAGAAAAGCTCTTGGCCTCTGTGCAGTCCCTCCAGCGGTGGTTAATAGTTACTCTAGCTCAGAAAAAACTCTTCACACATGTTGGCAGAACTAAACTTAATGAGCCAGGTTTATTGTCCCATGTAAGACCAGCCAAACCCTGATTTGATGTCCCCAGAGTTTCGGAACATAAACACTTTACTTCCGTGTGTCATTTGATAGCAGCTTAGCTTGTCTTGGCTCATAAAAATGGACACAAATGTATCTGAAGACTTTTATGCTTTGAAACTCTCCTTTCACTGTTTAATTAATGAATCATCCTTTTAGTTAATGGTAAAACAGTTTTGAGGGTCTAAGATAGATGTGGGGGGGAGGTCGGTGACTAGCACAAGGTTGCTCAACAATATTTTGGCAGGGCATGGCGCTACACACCTGTCATCCCAGCATTCTGGGGTGGAGGCAGGAGGGTCACTGCAAGTTTGAGGCCACCCTGCTCTACATAGCTACAAAGTGAATTCCAGGATAGCCAGGGTTACATATTGAGAGGTGTCTCAAAAACAAAAACAGTAACAAAAGAATTTAGTTTTGTTTGGACAAGAAGATCTAGACATTTATTTTTCAGTGACTTTAGCAAATGTATTATCTATAATCTATAACTCCAAATAGCTAAAATTATCTAAATATCTAAAGATATCTACAACAAATATCTAAAATTCATCTTTTTACACATGCAATACTTCGATTTCTTTAAAAAAACATTTATTTCTTCATTTTGTGTGTGTGTGTGTGTGTGTGTGTGTGTGTGTGTGTGTGTTTGCCTGTGCACATGGGGCCGTCAGAGGACAGTTTGTGGGAGTTGATTCTCTCCGTCTACTGTGTGGGTCCTGGGGATTGAACTCAAGTTGTCAGGGCTGGTGGCAAGTGCCCTTACCGGCCAAACCATCTCACCAGGCCTGGTATTTTGATGTCTTAATTATACAAATGAAAAGTGGTTTCATAAACTGAGTATCTCCAGTAGTAACTGGAAGTGCAAGGGGTCAGCTGATTTAGGTTAGACTAGAGCTGGAGCACGCTTTTTCCCACGTCTCGAGACAGGCTGTTTCATTACTTACTTGCCATAGGCAGATGCTAACCATTTGAGGTTGCTGCCCTTAAGAGAACAAAGATGCAGCCGGGCGGCGGCCGTGGCGCACGCCTTTAATCCCAGGCCTCGGGAGGCAGAGGCAGGCGGATCTCTGTGAGTTCGAGGCCAGCCTGGGCTACAGAGCGAGATCCAGGACAGGCACCAAAGTTACACAGAGAAACCCCGTCTAGAAAAACCAAAGAGAGAGAGAGAGAGAGAGAGAGAGAGAGAGAGAGAGAGAGAGAGAGAGAGAGAGAGAGAGAGAGAGACGCTTCATTCTGCCCGTGGTGATCTCTGTCTGCCTCAGATGCTCTCCACGCCTTATGCCCGACAGTGCTGGCCACTGCTTCATTGAAATCGGGGCTTGAAGTTGGGGAAAGTCTCTGATTTAGATGCACGGGTGGAAATAAGTAGGGAAAACCAAGTGAGTCTTATACCCAGCTGTGTTTACTCTGACCTGATTAAAACATGCAGTTCTGCCCTGGGATACTGAGCCCTGGCCAGTATCCAGGAATTACCCAGGAGGTAATGGGGTATATTTTGATTCTCATTGTCTTTGTAAGATTGGGCTGCCATAACAAGAATGATGGTAGCTTATAAATGACAGGACCTTGGTGTTTTTCATGGTAGAAGGCTTGCCTAGCCGGCCTTGGGTTTGATTCCTGGGGCTACACGCAAACATACACACACATAAATAACAAAGTAAGAGAAATTTGTCCTCATCGTTCTGGAAGCCAGAAGTGCATGTTCAGAGTGCCCTATGCTTAGGGGGCTAGCAAAAGCCCTCTTGTGAATTGTGGATGGCCAAATTCTCATGTCTTCATGGAAGGACCAGAGAGCCCTATGAAGTCCTTTTTGTAAGCACTTCGAAGCCATTCATGAGACTTCTCTCTTCACGATCTTAGGTTCATTACCTTCCCAAAGGTTCCAGGACCTAATCCCACCCACTTGAAGGTTAAAGTTCAAATGTAGCTTTCTGGGAGCCCATGCAGCACCATAACACTGACGTAAATACTGTTGTCATGTAAGGAGTTCTTTGGGAAGCTGGAGCGGGATACTGGAACATTTCCAGGCCTTTCCTGGGACAATCAATGCTGTGAAAAGGCTAGCCTTGCTTTTCACATCCACTTTGATGCTGTCATCTTTCTTGCCCAGAGTCTTCATGAATGCAGCTGGTGAAGAAATCAGGAGAGCCAGGGCATCCATGGACACCCTATAGAAAGATCAGCCCCGTGAGAGCACTGGGAGCCAGAGAGGTCTGCATGTTTGGCCTGGGGAACTTTCATAACACAGGGTTCTCTCTCAGAATTGAATTCTTTCGATCTGTCTGTGCCGTTGGATGTATGGTGAGGGACATGTGGGCAGGGATCTGGCTCTGTGTTGGTATACTTGTTTTCTAATGCCGTCCTAGGGTGTTTTAAATCAATTCTCCGAGACAACCGCAGAGCTGGGCAGCCTTTCCTTAAAATGCCTCTCACGTTCATCTCAATGCAGCTCCCTCTATTCTCACACATCACTGGAAAGGTGAGAACAGGAGGGTAGCTGAGGTAGTATGGGCTGATAATGAGAGCGATGGGTGCAACCCCAAACACGGCCTGGTACTTCACAGGAGGAAACATTCCTTCAATGAATGAACGAAAAAGATTTTCTGAAACTTTCCCATCCTCAAACCCCTCCAATATTGGCTGGATAAATAAATGGATGAATGAATGAGTGGATTATTCTTATGACTCAATTTCCTCATGACTCTTAGGATTTATTGTGGTTTGAATGCAAAATGTCCCCCCTAGGCTCATGTATTTGAACACCTGGGCCCCAGTGGGTGCTGTTTGGGGAGGTTATGGAATCTTCAGGAGGTAGAGTGTAGCATGAATCTTAAAAGTTCTTATTAATAAAATCAAACCTGAGGCCAGTTATTGGGGTGAATGCTGGAGGGTCAGAGAGACAGAACAAGCCACAGCTAACCTCACCTGGCCAACTTCTCAGCTGGTCTTGTTTCCTCAGACTGGAAGCTTCTGTGTCCTCATCCCAATGGCTCTCAGCTGAACTGTGCTCGAAACCTAAAAGCTTAACCAGCCAAATGCTTCTAGTTTCTGGTCTCCACACCTTATATATCTTTCTGTTTTTGCCATCACTCCCTGGGATTAAAGGCTTTAAAGGTGTGAGTCACCATGCTTGACTGTATCCTTGAACAGATGGATTTCTGCCTCTGGAATGCTAGGATTAAAGGTGTGTGCTACCACTGCCTAACTTCTATGTTCAATATTGTGGTTGTTCTGTCTCTGACCCCAGATAAGTTTATTAGCATGCACAATATTTTGGGGAATACAATACCACATTTCCTCTCTTTTTGTCTAAAATTTAAAAAGGCTTATAACTAATACAAGAAAAACTATCCAATAAGTATATACAATATATACAGCCAAAAATTACATTAATGATGTCTAGTCCATTAACATTTGACAGATTCAGATAAAAATCTCCATTACTATATAACAATGTCCAGTCCGGTAACATCTGATAAACTCAGACCAAAAAATTTTCATTACTTATCTTATTTAAAACAAGTAGTTCCTTTTTAAAAGTAGATTCCATAATCTCCCTTTTTATCTTATCATATCCATATTCTGTATGTAATTTTACTTTGTTAAGGTTAAAACCTTCCTTTTTGAAAAAAAAAAGAAAAGGGGAAATGTTGTGGGAAGGTCTGTATGTCAAGTGTGTTGCTGATTGGCCAATAAATAAAACACTGATTGGCCACTGGCTAGGCAGGAAGTATAGGCGGGACAAGGAGGAGAATAAAGCTGAAAAGTGGAAGGCTGAGTCAGAGACACTGCCAGCCGCCACCATGACAAGCAGCATGTGAAGATGCCGGTAAGCCACAAGCCACGTGGCAAGGTATAGATTTACGGAAATGGATTAATTTAAGCTGTAAGAACAGTTAGCAAGAAGCCTGCCACGGCCATACAGTTTGTAACCAATATAAGTCTCTGTGTTTACTTTGTTGGGTCCGAGCAGCTGTGGGACTGGCAGGTGAGAGAGATTTGTCCTGACTGTGGGCCAGGCAGGAAAACTCTAGCTACAGTGGAGTCTTGTGGAGGAAGTGTCTGTCATTGGGGGTGAGTTTGGAAGCTTGAAAGCCTCACCTCACCCTCTTCCTCTCGCTCTGCCTCCTGGGCATGGATGAAAATGTGACCAGCCAGCCTTCCTGCTCCCGTAGCCTGCCTCCTCCGCCATAATGAGTCTGTCCCCCTGGAGCCATAAGCCAAACTAAATCCGCTCGTCCTTAAGTTGCTCTTCTCGGGATGTTTTACTCACAGCAGCAAAAGTAACTAAGACGGCATCTAACCCTACTTCCTCGCCACGGCCAACAAGGCCTAGAGTGATCTCGGCTCTTCCGCCTCTTGCGTTTGCTTCACCCCAGGCTAATGCTGGCCTCCCTGCTCCTCAGACCAGCTCACCTCAGGTCCATCTCAGGACTTTATACTTGCCCTATATTTCGCTGGAAGGGCTCTTCCCTTAGCTCTCGGGCTTTCTTTCGGTTTCCATTCCAAGGTCGTCTCAAAAGGCTTTCTCCGGTGAATCAGCCAAAACTAATTACTCAGCATTGCCTCAGACCTGAAGTTAACCTGATTCATTTTTTCTAGATTACACTTAACCATTGCATGAAATTAAAACTAGTTATTTATTAGCAGGACTCTGTTTTGAGAGACAGGGTTCTTCTTCACTGTTCTGTGTCTAGGCCCTAAAGCACTGACATATATTGGCTGGCTACATAAATGAATGAATGAATGAATGAATGAATGAATGAAGAATGAATGAACGAATGAATGACCTTTTACTGTGATCTTTATCACCTTTTGAGTAAGATCAAAGTTACAAGCAAAACTTGTACAGGTAACAACAGTAATGCCAGTGATGCACGGCAGTTCTGACTCTGCCACCCAGGGGTCTCTTCAGGAACTCACGGGATACCTGAACTTTTCATGTCAAAGCATAAAAGTGAGTCTCAGCCTTGGTTCTAAATGAGTGAATGAGAAGGTCAGAGTCAAGGGAGTATCTTAGTTAGGATTACTGTTACTGTGATGAAACATTACCAAAAGCAAGCTGTGGGGGAAAGGGCTTATTTGGTTTACACCTCTATATCCATAGTCCATCCCTGAAGGAAGTCAGGACAGGAACTCAAACGGGGCAGGGACCTGGAGGCAGGAGCTGATGCAGAGGCCATGAAGGGAGCTGCTTACTGGCTTGCTCAGGCTGCTTTTTTACAGAACCCAAGACCACCAGTCCAGGGACAGCACTACCCATCATGGGCTGGGCCCTCCCCGTCAATCACCAGTTAAGAAAATGCCCTACAGTGGGGTCTTATGGAGGCATTTTCTCAATTGAGGCTCCCTCCTTTCAGATGTCAAGTTGACATTAAACTATCTAGTATAAGGAGTTTCCATGAACCATCTGTGTTCCAATCCTACAGCTCTTGCCATAGATCATCAGGAATTTAGTGGCTTAAAACAACAGCAACTTATTCTGGAGGCTGTAAGTACAGACATCGGCAGGGCTCTGGTCTCTCTGGAGCCTCCTCCAACTCCTGCCGTATGCAAAGTTGTTCGGGGCTGGCAAGATGACTAAGAGGGTAAAGGCACTTGCTGCCAAACCTGACAAGCTGAGTTCAGTCTCCAGGGGGTCTCACAAGGTGGAGGGAGAAAACCGGCTCCCACAAGTTGTCTTCCACACATCCGCTGTGGCACATACACAGTACCTATCTATCTATCCACAGTCTATCTATGCACCGTCTACTGAATTTATCACTCTTCTTGGTTTTGGGTTGTATAACTCTAAAGAATGTAGCCTTCATTTTATGAATCTCTAAGAACAAAAATTGTTTAATGCCTAACTTAATGTAATCATTTAATGTGAATTTTTCCTAGGATCTGTACCTATGTTGAGATGCTCTGAAGAATAGCAGCCACCTCAGGAATGTTTATTGCCATACAATGACTAAAACAAATTCCATCATCTTCTATTTTATCATTGTCTTAGAATTGATACTTATCAAAATCCAACTATCTGATGGAAGTGAGCTCATCATTAGGAGACCAAGAGCAAACCTCACCCATGTGCCCAAAGACCTACCCTTGGCAACAACTACTTTAGATATATCACAAAACAATATATCTGTGCTTCAGGCTTCTGACATCGTCTTGCTGTCCAAGCTGAGGGTCTTGGCGATGCCCTACAACAGACTCCAGTGTCTTGATATGGGTGTTTTCAAATTCAACATGGAACTGGAATATTTGGATTTGTCCCACAACGAGTTAAGGGTGATTTCTTGCCACTCAGCAGTCAACTTCAAGCACTTAGACCTCTCCTTCAATGCATTTGATGCCCTGCCCATATGCAAGGAGTTTGGCAACATGTCCCAACTAGAATTTCTGGGACTGAGTGGTACTAAGGTACAAAATTCAAGTGTGCAGCCGATCTCTCGTTTGAATATGAGTAAGGTTTTGCTGGTTTTGGGAGATGCTTACGGGGAAAACGAAGACCCCGGGAGTCTTCAGCATGTCAGCACGAGGAGCCTGCATGTTGTTTTCCCTGTGAAAAGAGAATTTCGTTTTATTCTGGATGTATCAGTCCGCACTGTAATCAATTTGGAACTATCTAACATCAAGTGTGTACTTGAAGACAAGTGCTCTTATTTCTTCAGGGCTTTGTCAGAGCTTGAAAAGAATGAGAAGCTATCAAATCTTACCTTAAACAACGTTGAAACGACATGGAATTCCTTCATGGGCATCCTCCAGTCTGTATGGCATACACCTGTAAAGTATTTCTCAATTTCAAACATGAAACTACAAGGGGAAGTTGAGTCAAGAGATTTCGATTATTCCAACACTTCTCTGAAGGCTTTGTCAATATATCAAGTTGTCAGTAATGCGTTCAGTTTATCACAAAATTACCTATACAGTATCTTTTCCAATATGAACATCCAAAACTTCACAGTGTCTGGAACACGCATGCTCCACATGCTTTGCCCATCCCAAGTTAGCCCATTCCTGCATTTGGACTTTACAGATAACCTCTTAACAGACTCGGTTTTTGAAGATTGTAGAAACTTGATTGAATTGAAAACACTTAGTTTACAAAAGAACCAGTTAAAGAAACTTGAAAATATAATTCTTATGTCTGCAGAGATGACATCTCTACAAAAGCTAGACATTAGCCAGAACTCTCTAAGCTATGGTGAGGGGGAAAGCCTGTGCTCCTGGACTGAGAGTTTGCTAGTTTTAAATTTGTCTTCAAATATGCTTACTGACTCTGTCTTCAGATGCTTGCCTCCCAAGGTCAAGGTCCTTGACCTTCACAACAACAGAATAACGAGCATCCCCAAAGATGTCACCCACCTGCAAGCTTTGCAGGAACTCAACGTTGCATCCAATTCTTTAACGGACCTTCCTGGATGCGGGGCCTTCAGCAGCCTCTCTGTGCTGGTCATTGAGCATAATTTAGTTTCCCACCCCTCAGCAGATTTCTTTCAAAGCTGTCAGAAGATTAGGTCCATAACAGCAGGGGACAACCCATTCCGATGCACATGTGAGCTGAGAGAATTTGTCAAAAACATCGGCCGAGTATCAGGAGAAGTGGTCGAGGGCTGGCCTGATTCTTACACGTGTGACTCCCCAGAAAGCGCTAAGGGGACTCCACTGCAGGACTTCCACATGTCTGCATTGTCCTGTGATACTGTTCTGCTGATTGTCACCATCGGGGTCACTTTGCTGCTGTTGGCTGCCATCGTGACTTTCCTCTGCCTCCGCTTTGATCTGCCCTGGTATCTGAGGATGGTGTTTCAGTGGACACAGACCCGGCACAGGGCCAGGAACATCCCCATAGAGGAACTCCAGAGGAATTTCCAGTTTCACGCTTTTGTCTCATACAGTGGGCATGATTCCACCTGGGTGAAGAATGAATTACTACCAAACCTAGAGAAAGATGGCATACGGATTTGCCTCCATGAGAGAAACTTTGTCCCTGGCAAGAGCATTGTGGAGAATATCATCCATTTCATCGAGAAGAGTTACAAGTCCATCTTCGTGTTGTCTCCTCACTTCATCCAGAGTGAGTGGTGCCATTATGAACTCTACTTTGCCCATCACAATCTCTTCCATGAAGGGTCTGATAACTTAATCCTGATCTTACTGGAGCCCATTCCACAGTACTCCATCCCTAGCAACTACCACAAGCTTAAAACTCTCATGGCACAGAGGACTTATTTGGAATGGCCCACGGAGAAGAGCAAACATGGACTTTTTTGGGCAAACCTAAGAGCAGCCATTAATGTCAAGCTGGTTAACCAAGCAGAAACCACATGTCACATACAGAGATAAGAATTTTCTCCTTATCAGTGGTGCTGCCTTGGACAGTTCTGATAATGGTGCCCTTGGCTTCAGCATGAACCTAAAAATGATTTTGACATTATGATAGAGAAATTTCTGCTTTCAAGCCCCAGTTTGCCACTAGTGTGTGGTAATAAAAATTAGTGGAGTGCTATAATTTTAGGCCTTGCTTTGGTCCAGTATTTCCTCATTATGTTCCCTTTCCTCCCTTAAGCATGGTAATATATATCCTGTGTCATTGTGTTGGAAATATGTGATCTGCTTTTTGGGGGATTACAGTTAAGAGATTGCCATGAGTCCCAGAAGAGATTTGGGCTTTTAAACAGTGCCAATACTGTGATAGACTATGGGGACTTTTGAAATTAGACTGAATGCATTTTTACATTATGATATGGCTACAAGTCTAAGGGTTCAGGGAATGGAATGTGGTGATTTGAATTGTAATGGTCCCCATAGGCTCATATATTTGAATGCTTGGTTATTAAGGAATGGCATTACTTGATAGGGATTAGGAGATGTGTCCTTGTTGGGGTAGATATGGCCTTGTTGAAAGTGTGTCCTTGTTGGGGTAGGTATGGTCTTGTTGAAAGAAGTGTGTCACTAGGGGTGGGCTTTGGGGTTTCAAATGCTCAAGCCAGGCTTGGTGGCTGTCTCTGCTGCCTGTAGATAGGGATGCAAAACTCTCAGCTACTTCTTCAGCACCATATAACTGCCTGTATGCCTCCATGCTCCCAACCATGATACTGGACTGAATCTCTGACACTGTAATCAAGCCCCAATTAAATGCTTTCCTTTGTAAGAGTTTCTGTGGTCACGGGTGTCTCTTTACAGCGGTAGGACAGTGATAAAGACACTAGTACAATATGGCAGAAATCGGTGGCACCATTTGAGGGCAGCGTCCGTTGCTAACTTTAAGTGTATTAAAATTTTGAATAGACAGCTATTCGAGAGTGTGGTGAATGTTATCTCAAACACAACATATACATAGAAAAAAATGAAACAAATAAAGTGAAAAACTAATAATATGGTACTAGATTGTCATAGGGTATGATGTTGCAGTGAGTGATGTGTCAGGATTTAAATAGAACATAATGTAAACCCTGAATAATTTACCAAAAAACAAATGTTGCTGTGGGGAAAGTGAACCAGTGAGTTATAAGAAATGCTCTTTTCTGGTAATAATTATCTATTTATTTGTGTATCTATGTGAGTGGTGGGTGACACCCGCCACAGTGTACGTGTGTGGATGTCACAGGACAACTTTGTGAGGCTGGCTCTCCCCTTCACTTTTGTCTGGGTTCTAGGGACTGAACTCAGGGACTGTACAGGAAGTGTTTTCATCACCTGAGCCGTTTTACCAGGCTTCATTTTGTGTTTGAAACAGCGTCTTATGCACTCCAGTCTGTCCTTGAACTCGGTATATAATTGAGGGCAATGATCCTCTTGCCTCTACCTCCCCACCTCCAGGATTATAGAAGTGTGCCACTAAGCCTGAGCGTTTTCACTTTTCCGTGGCAGATGTAAGTAACACAGATACAGCAGTGTGCTGATAAATGCCCAACAATGGACTTCAAGGGGGAGAGGGGACTTTGAAAAATTAGTAACACTCTCTTCATTATTTTTTCTAGGAATTTAATAACATAATGAATAAAATTCCAGTTTTCTGATGGGTGTTCGCCAGTTTTGTGACACACACACACACACACACACACTCCCTTCATGGTCAATTTCAAGGTGTCAATGTGACATGATAGAAGGTGGAGTTGGAAAGAGATGGGCATAAATGTCTTAATACATCGTTTTTTACCATGCTGATACAGTGGACAGAAAGGCTCTCTAGGGCAAAACCGTGGTGAGTGCACAGTACAATGGTCAGGTACAACCACGGTGGGGACACAGTAGAACAGTCAGGTACAACCACGGTGGGCACACAGTAGAACGATCAGGCAGTGAAGGGCTTAGAGTACTTACTGTTTTTCGTTTTTAAGGCCATTTATTCAAATACCAAGTAGACACAACTCCATTTTTAGTGTTGGCTGCTTTTAACTGTCTCACAAAATCCTTGGAAGTTAAAAACTGGCTCTCCTAAGTGAATATAAACCGGATGTATTAGAAAAGATCTTAGTAAGCATGACTCCTTGTGTAGTGGGTTTTTTTTTTTTTTTCTACATTCAGTGTAAAACAATGGCAGGTGGCTTCCATGCACACTAGGAAATCTTGGGGGAAATCCTTGAGCTCAAGTGTCTGACAAGATGTTTATCACGCGCCTGACCTCTGCAATTCAGCCTCAGATCCACGGTAACTCCCGGTTACAGTCACAAAGATAGCTCTACTAGGTATTGGGTGTAGCTAAGTGGTATGGACTTGTCTATCACGCACATGACTTGGCTTCCATCCCCAGTGTCACCACAACCACAAACAAGAACAAATTGTTGGAGCTGGGAAGCAAGCCAGACATGGAGCACACCCCTGAACCTCCAGAACCCCGGAAACTGAAGCAGAGGGTTGTAAATTTGAGACTACCCCTGGTTACATGCAAGACCCTGTGTCTAACAAAACAAAAACAAAACAAAGAAAGAAGCGGGGCTGGGGAGATGACTTGGTGGGCAAAGTGCTCGCTGCACAGGCATGAGGACCTGAATTTGGGTCCCCAGCATCCAGGTAAAAGCAGGGTTCATGGCCGCCCAGTGCTAGGTGTCCAGAGAAGTCAAGTGGATCACCAGAGCTTGCTGGCCAGCCCGTCTAGTACATTTGTCAGTAGGAGGTTCAATGAGAAACTCTGCCTCAAAAATAAGGTGGAGAGTGATTTAGAAAGACATCTGATGTCGACCTTTGGCCTCCATGGACATTCACACAGATGTGCACGCCCACGTACATACCACACCCACACACAAACTCTCCACAATGAAAACAAGCTGAAAAAGTACATATCTAGTGAGAAGTACAGACTTAGACTTTCCTTCCTTCCTCTCTCGCCTTTGTTAACCCCTTATTCACTCTCTGTGTGTAAAGATTATATATATATAATCTCTATATATAATCTATATATATAATACATCTTTAAAGATGTATTTTGTCTCTAGTCCCTTTCCTCTGGTACCCTTTCCCTCCCCTTCCCTCCTCCCTCTTCCCCTCCCTTCCCCTTCAGTCACCTCCCCAATGCTTCATGGGTGCCACAAGGTGAGTAACTCTGCTTCATAACATGCCATGATGTTCTGCTCCACACAGACCCAAAGTGACAGGGTGATGGAACCATGCACTGAAACCTCTCTAAGCCAGAATAAAGTTCTTCTACTGTAAGTCGATTTTCTCTGGAGCTTGTCATAGTGACTGGATGCAGACTAACACTTGTTTTAAGGATTCCCTTCAATAGACAGTCTCTACCCACGTCTCACGTTCTTGTGACTGACTCCTGGGGTTACTTTCTTCTTCTGATCATTTTGCTACCACACCTAATTTGAGAGGCAGAGTAACTGGTCTGAACCTGGAAGTAAGGCACAGCCAAAGTGTTCCAAGATGCTGGGAAGCCAGCATGGCAGTTCTGTTAAAGAAATAAGGAAACATGAAACACCTGATGGTCCAGTGACCCTACATGCAGGAATATACATGTTTGTACTCCCTTTTCAAAGCATAATTTTTCACCAGAGTCCTAAGGCAATCCAAATGTCTGACGATAAGCAACATGTGGCCTGTGCATTTAGTGATATTATTCAGTCTTAAAAAGGAAGGGTATTCTGAGGCATGCTGGAACATGGTAGGGGAGGGCGGATTGGAAAGGCGCTAAGTGAAATAAGCCTATAAGAAAAAAAAAGAACCAATATTGTCTGAGTTCACTTACAGGAGAAATAGGGAGATGGTGCTGATGGGCACAGAGTATTAGTTTGTGACGATGGATGATGAAAAGGTTCTGGAAATAATGGTGGAGACAAGCACACAACCATGGGAATGTACTTAACACCCCAGAATTACAGTCTTTAAAAGGCAAGTTTAATGTGGATTTTGCCACAATTTAAAAAAGAAAAACAAGTGCTCTTCCGTGTTAGCTGACGTAACATGTAATGCCACCAGCACGCAGCAGAGGGGGAAACCTGAGGTTCAGAGGTCTGAACCTTACAGGAAACACTGATTCAAACTGTTCCCACAGCCACTTCTGACCTTGTCCAAGAAATCATCCGCACACCTGCATCTCTACTGAGAAGAGGAGGCTGCAAGCTGGGCTAAGAATTGCCGAGACACAGAAAAAGAAATAAGGGCTGCAGGAATCTTTCCAAAGAGCTAGTACAGGTGAGAACAAAGAGACTTAGGGTTTTTTTTTTTTTTTCAGTGTTTACTACTTTGCCTAAAGATGAATGGTTAGTGAGCATGGGGCTATTGATCTGAGGAATTATCTTGCAGGGGCCTGAGGGTTTGGATTTATTTTCTCTGCAGGCTGCACCTGGCCAGCTCTTCTGCCCTCTGTGGATGGTCTTAGGGATTGTGGTGAGTTTCTTTATGTTAACAACCTAAAGCTCATCACTGTTTGAAAGGTTGCATCTCGTTGTATGTCTAAAAAGTGGGGCAGGCCAGATGGGTCTTCAACACTGCAGTTCTTGCTCCAAAGGAGGCTCCAGAAATCCAAAGCGGCCAAAGATGGCTGAGGGGTTGCTGTGGTGGCTGGGTCACATCAAGGAAACTGAGGCTACAAGAGCATTCTCATGGAGGACCTAGGCTGAGCTTATAAATTAATAATTCTCAATATATTTACACACAGGCTAAGTCTCTCTGATATGTGACCCATAGCAGCATCCCATCACGGCAGCATACTGAAGCTGAGAAAGAAGCCCCCACAGCAGCTGGCCAGGTGAGTGGTACCCACCTTGGTCATCACAGCCTAAGCTGCAGCTTTGAGAGTTTGAAAATGCTTTTGGTTGAATTTAACTCCCACTCAGAAGGGACCAGACAGATCCGAATTCAAATGCCTCTTCTACTACTTTCTAGGCTGCCCTGGGCAAGTTACTTAATCTCTGAGTTTTTGCTTCTAGATCTGAAAAACAGGAATAATAGTGGCCACCATTTTGTCGGGTTATTGAAAAGATTGAATAAGACATTGTATGGAAAACATACAGTTCCATGTCAGACACATAGAAACACTAAAAAAATGGTCTCTCTTATTCTCATATTGCAACATCATTCAACCTTTGGTGGGTTTTAGCTTTTCTCCATTTACTGGAATCATTAAAGGGAAAATGACTTGGGAAATGTTCTTTGGCAAACCACCAACTGCTGTTGTGCGGTGTCTTTGGGTGGGACATTACATCATAATCTGTGGATGGAGGACTTTCTCTGCTTTTCAGCTGCTTTCCACATAATGTCAATAGCGCTAATGCAGTGACAATATATACTGCTTACTTACTGGATGCGTCTTTCATGAAGCCCTATGTTGGGGTGAGTGTCATAGATCAGTGGTACAGTGTGTGCTCAGGATGCCTGCGGCCCTGATTTAATCCTCCATACAACAATAGCAATAATACACCGTTTATGTCTTACTCTTAAGATGTCTTAATGAGACACCCCAACACATATGAACTGCCTGAGAAACAGAAACTTGTTATCTTCTTAAATTAAGAGAAGTTCAGTGGGAGTAGCTTCCTCTCTCATTATAACTCCGAATCAGGTTGCGGCATTGGGCAGGAGAAAGCATCACTCAAGAGATGGAGACTCTGGCATCCCAGCCCAAGCGATGCCACATGAAGCAGCAGGGTGGGGGTCACTGTGGTTTTTCAAGGGCCATGACCCTCAGATCTAAAAGCTTGAAGAGCTCT